GGATTCGAACCTGCCACCTCTCACATATTACTAGGCTGAAGGGTTGACACCTTTTGTGCATCCACGACGACGAGTGAACATATTCCATAATAAACGCCATTCATAAAAAACGCCATACACTTTCAAAGAAGCATAATTTTTTTTAGTTAAGACTGTCTACTACAAGGTCTATTTATTTTATGCCACAGACATTTACGCGAATATACTTAGAGGGCTCTCTTTTATTCACCAGAAGGATTTATTTATATTAACTAACAAAGATTTTGTTATTAACTCTTTGGAACACGTTACACAAATTTCTTAGATACTTTTTACACATCCTAATTTAAACCACTAAACGTACGCTAAAACTTGATTTTCGTCATGTTAAAAACACATCACACGAATTCTTAACTCGATGCCACTATCTACCGCAAAGCCTCTTACCATTACTGTAACTAACTTAATACTGCATTCGGCTTTTTTAACTAGGTAAATGGAAAGTAGAATTACTTTTAAATATTCAGAAAAATTTTCAAGCGTATTATTTAAATTCAAGTAATAGCCAGATCTATAATAACTCAAAGTCTGAAAATACATATAGAATTTATGTTCGAGCAATGGAAGTGAAAGCTTGACCCCTTTTGACAATTTGGAATAGGTTTTTCAACTAGCATCGTCATTATTTTTTATGAGTCTCAAAGATTGTTAGCATATTCATTCTAACTTACGCTAAAAGATACGCATTTCGCATTGACATTATTTTTTATGAGTCTCAAAGATTGTTAGCATATTCATTCTAACTTACGCTAAAAGATACGCATTTCGCATTGACATTATTTATAATTTTTTGAGACTACTTGACATTTAATTTATCATATTTAGTAAGTAAAATCCTGCGTAAACATCATACATAACAGGAAATATATCGTAATGAATTCCAGATAATAATCCAATATACTGATTAACTTAATAGCTTTAACACGTTAATTTTCACTTGAGATACGCTCTTCAAATTGACGTTACACAACACTCAGCTCTTACAGCCTTTTTGAGAATATTTAATATTTAATTTATCATCTCTTAGCAAATAAAATTATACATAAACACATTAATAGGACTTAATCTAAAAAAGACCGCACTTTCAAAGAAACATTATTTTAATTAAACACTGGAGCCTTAATTCTTTGAACATATATGGCATTTATCTTGAGCATCATACACAATAAAATACTTGAGATACATTCATTACACAAAATATGAAACACATTTTCTCGTCTTTCTCATATTTTACTAAATTAATTTTTTCTTACTTTATATTTTTTGTTTTCTTCAAATATAAATTTTATTTTTACATTTGTTATCTTTTCACGTTTAAATTTTTACAAAAGTTTTTTTTTTTCAAAGTTTTTTTCTTTTCACTTTTTTACTTTAGAAAGAATTTTTTTTTTACGTTTATCTTTTTGCATTTTACAAAAGTAATATTTATTTTTACAAGTTTATTTTTTTTTTCCTTTTCTCTGTTTTCCTTTAGAAAGTTTTTTACATTCGATATTTTTATTTTACAAAAAATATTTTTTTTTAGTTTAATTTTTCTTTTTATTTTGTTAAGAGAATACAAACATTTATTAATACAGAAGAGCAACATACTAAAATAAAATTAAGCAAAACAACAACCTTTTGTTCAGCTTAGGTTTTAGTTGAAATTCTATCGGAGACCAGTTTGCTACCTCTTTTTATTAAAATACCAATTGCGATAGTTATCAATACCAGTTTACTACCATATCAGTTGCTTTCATCCAGATCAGTTTTTATTACCAGTTTATTGCCGTACTAGTTACTACAAACACAAGGTTTTTGTTTTGCCTAATTTTAAGATTTATTAGTTACTCAGTTTTTACTTCGAATTCATTTGTGATAATATATAGTAATATCGCAGGATATCCTAAATAGAATAAAATGAAAACGAAGAAAAGTTTAGTACTATTTTGAATACCTTTCTTACATATGTTGGCATTAAATATTTTTGTTGGAAGATCACCTTTGTTTAGAGTAGGAAAGCTAACGAGACAAAGCAATGGCATAGGGATTGTAGTTAATATAAAGTAGGTATATGATTTCCCTGCTTTTTGTTTAAACACTTGCATGTAGAATTTCTTTCTCTTTTTTTTTTTTTTTGAATTTTTTTCCCTCTTAGTTTCGTTTTTATGTCTTTTGGCACATTTTTTTTCCACACTTATCACCTGAGGAGGAGGGTGTTTTCCCCTATTCCCCCCACTGTCATCCTAATTTCAGACCCACATATGTGATGGACGGAATAAACATATGATCTAAATTTCATTCAATTATCATTAAAAATAATTTAGTGGATTTAGAAAATTCACTTTCTATATATATATATATACATACCTCTCTTTCTCCCTATAGTGTGTTTAAGAAAGTACTATTAAGAATGTATTAATTCAGAAGTCAAACAACAAAAATCAGCGTTATATTTACAAAATTTTTCACAGGACTAGTTTCGATGGTTTTACCGAACCACCATCCTCAGCTGCAAAACCGCAAATGGTAAATATAACGCTGATTTTTGTTGTTTGACTTCTGAATTAGTATTTATTCGGCGTGTTATTGTGTCTTAAGAATGTATTGTTAGATATCGCCCAAACGATTATTATGCACCATGTTACGGAATATAGGGCTTCGGAAACATCTTTTTTAATACTTTGTGAATTAAATTAATTAAAAAAGGGTGCACTTACGTAATATATGGCATCAGAAACATCTTTTAATGAAAGTTATTTACATTAATTAAAAAATAGTGCAGGTATTCTAGGTAAAAAGCTATGAGACTCAGCAAAAATTAATAATTATACTTAGTGGTTGAAAAAAATATTCTAAGTTAACAAATTTTTATATTCCAAATTGGGAAAAAGGCGATAAAGTTTCACTTCCATGGCTGAATATTATTTCCATGTGTATTATATAGACTTTGAGTTAATGGTGCAGGTATTCTAGGTTTGGTTTATTTAATTATGGCAAAGTACACTAGGGCTATCTGCCTAAGGAGAGGGATGCCTTCGTGGAAAAGGAAAAACTGTCTCGTCACGTTACACCGGAACTTCGCGGATTCGATCACCGAACTACCAGTGTTCAGCGACTTTACCGCTCGCCGCCGGTGGGCCGCAGGTATTCTAGATGAAAAGTATTGTGAATGGGGAGGGCAATTTTTTTCTAAATTTTAACTATTTTCTTTTTCAGAGATATCTGGAATCACTTCTTAAATGATGGAGCCAGAACAAACAATTACATTGAAAAGTATTTGTTCCCATTTAAACGCACTTTCTTTGTTTCAGCTTCTAAAGTACAACTAATCAAAAAAGGAATCAGTCACTCGGATGCTAAGCTGCGGCAATAAATCATGGAGATTCTACTTAAAATACAGAGACTTAAATGGACAAAATAAAATTTTGAAAGAATTTTTTTTTAGACAGGGAAAGTTTTATTAGAAAATTAGATCGATGTTGTGAGCTATTGCATTCAGAAGTTTGAGTGTTAAAATGTTAAATGAAAATAAAGTTTTTTCCCCTTTTTTTAAAGTTATATGTCATAGCTTTGCGTATGCAGTATTCAAACTTTACTTTCTTTTGTATATAGATGAAAAATATAATTTTTAGCATAAATATTTTAATACTTTGAACATAACAGGTTTAATCTTGATTTAGACAGTTACTTGTATTTCCCTAGTATGTGCAATTCTAGATCATAAGCAATAAAAAGAGGCTGGTTAATTCCTTACGATAATAGTTAAATAATTGTGGTAACAAAATTAGTTTCACAAGTTAAACTTCCACTAAATTCTTTTACCAAAATGAAAATTTTTTATCTACGAAATAAAAAATATTTGAATGAAATTTCAAGTTTCGCTTACTAAGTAATTATTACAAAAAATATAAATAATAAAAGCAATAAGCAAAGAAAAAATTCAAACAAATTTATATTTATTTTCTATCTGTAATCTAAAGTTTAGTTCTGCAAGATACTTCTGTTAATTATGCTTTGTTAATTCAAACATGCTGGCAGTTAAATATATTAATACTTCAGATTGACGTTTATTTCGAATACTTTTAATATGTTTAATTAATCATGAATTAACGTACTTTAATTCAAACTAAAAATAAACGAATTATGAAAAATTTTATAAGTTTCCAGAGAAAACTATCCAAATGTGGCAAAACTTAATATTGAGAACCTAGCCACTTTCTCTTTAATAAAAATTTCTTCGACACGTAAATTAAAATACATATATTTGTATGTGAATAATTATTTCTGTTTTGAATAGTTATTTCTTTCTTATTTGTTTTAAGAAAAGAGTTAAAAAAACCACCTCTTTTCGTATAAACTCATAACTTGTTTGTATAATGTTCGTACACTGGAGAAAATTTACTAGAAATTATCTTCATGAAAGAGTGTTTATGTTCATAGGTCAAGCGGGTTCTTTTCTTATTAATTTTCATCTGTGAAAAAAGAACCTGTTGACATAATTCATATTACTTAACAAAGCGATTATTCTTATGGAAAATTTCGTAACTAAGCTTATTTATTTTTTGACATGTACGAATGAAAGGTAATCAAACCTGTACCTTAAAATCTTTGAACGATATTTATATCACATTATAAATTAATTTACTCAATTGACAGATTTTTCTGGCACATAATTTACTTTTGTTTTCAATCGTAATGAAAATAACGTAAATTCGGACTTCGAATATTTAAAATCTTGAAATCTTTGCAACACCGTAAGTGCAACAAATGTATAATTCAAATGTATTTTCAGGCCGTATAAAACTGCTTTGGTGTCGCCAGTTTGAGAACACTGCCCTAAATGACGTATATGATCTTTAGAAACTTTAATTTACTTTAAAGGTTACAGTTTACTAATCCTTGCATTTACAATAGGTAAAATATAGATCTTTTATATTGTTAAAAATGTGAGCCCGAATCAAATAAAGAATTTAAGTTACCTTTTGTGATGAATTCAGATTCGCTGGGATGGATGGAATCACAGGAACTACCTCAGATCGAAACTAATGACGCGGTAGAAACGAAAATCGGATCCTGCGACGGCAAACGATCTGCATTCTCGGCTAAGCACTACTTCATAGCTAATAATAGGAGAAAGACTGGTTTCCTCTCCTTCCGAAAATACCGAATGAGAATATTTTGCGAGTGAAATTTCGGTCTAGGTTATGACTTCATCCATCGCTAGCAATTTTCCCTCGTGATGCCCCGTTCTGGATGAGAGAAGAATGTGCTTTTGTTTACACCTATCTGCATAGGTGAGAAAGATTTTCGAATGGGGTTAAAGCCCTTTTCAGTTACTTTTCATCTCCTTTCAGTGAATATAAATAATTTCTGTCTACTTAATTGAAACATATATATTATTTATTTCAGTAAATATAAATAATATAAATGTTCCAATTAAGGTAGACGGAAATTGGATTGAATAATGTATATTTCAGTAAAAAAAATATAATATATCGTTGCATGCGTACGGGTTTCGTAATGGACTGAATGCATCCAGAACCGATGACAGTTCGATCAAATTTATTTTCCCAAAGGAAACACTTCCCAGTTCTGAAAATTTCGGAATTAGTAGTTACTTCTTCACTACGGAATAGTACAGTTCAGTACAATTAGTAGTTACTTCTTCAGACTACTAAGAACGTTAAACGCAACGCAATGCAAAGCACATCTAAAAGGCGAAGTTTGCTCGGAGATCTCAATACTCCGAAGTCAGAACTAAAACCGAAAGGTACATTCGTCTTTGCCGGCATTTAGCTAGAAATATTTCTTGCTTTTTCCGGCACCTCAGATAATCCCAGGGTAGGGTCACCGCAAGTACCAAACCTCAGGGAAATTTTCCGGTTAGAAAGTCCTCTAAATAACTAAGTAAATTAGAGATCCTAATCTCAGTAACGTAAAGATTGAAGTGGGAGGAAGCTAGTGCAGAGAATAGCCACACGTGACTAGAAAAAACAAATGGGGTATTGCATGGACACCAGGCGTAGTGTGGCTAATCAGAAGTGTAAACGTCCGGATATGCAAGTAATAATTTCGGACCTTGGATACCGAAAGGTGATGCTCTCTCCGGTCTTGTACAGTTTTCCGTATATATATATGTGTGTGTAAGATATAGCAAAATACAATAGCTGCTTTAAAAATAATTTGTGACCTCAAAATTAACGATTCTAGATTTGGCGCTCTCCTCTTAATTCATCCGTTCTCCCGGATTCGAGATGTTTCTATGTTACGTGACGTTTTAATGCAGATACCTCTTGTCCAACCAAATTAATTGTAAACCAAATCTTTCTGTAACTCGAACTGAAAATATTGACTCCCTCGCTTCTTCCTCTGAGTTGCAGCGTTCTCTTTCGCTTTTGCTTCCCTGCCGGCAAGACGCTGCTACTTATTTGCCTAAGATAACGTTCTACTTTAAAATGGAACTTATTCTATTCAACTACAATTAAGATACATCTTGTCTGCAAAAGAATGATTTGATATGCTTAAAAAACAAAGATTGTTATTCAAGCTCAGTTGTGCTAAATGCGTCATCTTGCTTTTCCACTCATCACTACCTTCAGCCACTACGGTCTTCTCAGTCATCTACGCAATATCGAAAGCTGTTAAAAATATATGTATAAATTTTAACAAAAACGTATATACGTAAAAAAGCAAATTTAAAGTTAAAATAATGTGCAAACATATAAAAGAATTAATTTTCGAACTAATTTACAATATCATTTAAATTCAGATTGCATAAGTAAATCAAGTGCAAAACCAAAACATGTAAAATAAATTCACCAATTTAGCAAATTAAAATTAATCTAAAAAATGTTTTAAAAATGCTTAAGTGAATGACTGTTGAGCAGGCAGGAGGCAGACTTATCAAGGGGAAGTTGCCTCCTAACCTAACTCTTCAATCATTCAATTCGTGTTTCGTCATTCATGCAAGCAAGGGCAAAAGTCAAAACCAAAAGTAGTGAAGAATGTCCAAAAAGAAATACCAACTAAGTGGTACCTTGAGTAATTAGCAATTAAAATTAAAGGTCTAAAGGAAAATACCAATAAAGAAGTATTTAGAGAAATAATCAATGAAAAGCTTAGTATTAAATTAAACTTTTTTTAAAAATTAAATTTTCCAGAAAAATATTAAAAAATTTAATTTTTCAGAAAAATCAATCTTCCAAAAAATTTAGAAACCAGTGCATTTTAGAAACCCTTGTTTACAGAAACCTCCGCGACACTAATATGCATATTAATCAAAAAGTAACTAAAAAGAAGTAATTCATAGTTTATAAAAAAACAAATATACTTAAAAATAATTACATATCTAGAAAATGCTTAAAAACTACATAAAAAATTTAAAAGCAAGCAAATAGTAAGTTTTAAAACCAAGTTTTAATACTAACTTACCTACCATATAAGCGTTGGGGTCTGCAAAAAGTATTTCCTAAGTGAAGTAAGTGTGTTCTGCAAATTATATAGATGGCGCTAATGTAAGTAAAGTTGAGTGCCAAGCTGCTATCTTTAATATTAAATTAATCTGAAAAGAGTGAATCCATACTTAGTAAGTTCTATTTCGAAAGATGTTTGGAAGTAACTTGAATGTAAATTGTTAAAAATGTTTAACGGGGACTCGAATTAAATCATGAATAACAAAATTTTAATTGTAAAAGGAATAAATTAAAAGCAAGAATAAAATTAAATGCAAGTAATCATTGTCATTGATCGGAAATTAGTTGACTTTTCAAGTGACAAACCAACTCCCATTCAATGAACAATAATTAAGAAATAAATACGAAGGTGTTTCGTCCTTTACTCGAGCAATAAGGCGATGCCAAACCGGCATTTCAATTCAGGCCAAACATTTCCGTGAATAGAAGGGATTAAGAAACAATGCAGAGATCCAAAGAACTCATTCCGATTAAGCATTTTAGCTAAATTAATTTTGAGTGAAAAGCAATTTCTGCAGTAAATTGATATCGCTCGAGTAACCGTCCCCCCGACACCCTCGTGTTTATGCATTTGAGTTCAATATTATATGTAAAAATTAAACATTGGAAATTGTCATTATGAAATCGAATTCAAAGTAGTTGAAATAAACATTAGAAAATTACAAAATGTAAGAAAAATTAATGCAATCTTTGTAAAACCTAAATCAAAAAATATTTTTTTAAAATATAATAAGAAAAGTGAATGGACATGAAGATAATAAAGCTAATTAATGTTCAAGTTGATAACGAAGTACCACCAAAATTTATTAATTTATATATTAAAAAAGGCAGGCATTAACTTTACTTTATAATTGTTTAGCTCTTTATGGTATGATAACATTACCTTAAACCTTAGCTGGAGGGTAATGGAGGATATAGAAGAGTAAAGGAATTATCTTGTAAATTTTTATTGTAAATAAATTTGTAAATATGAATATTTAATGAATACTGGATTCTTTCCTTTTACTAATAAAGGGCTAACTCTTATCAAAAGTCTCAATTATAGCCCGAATTGAGTGAAGATTTTAATCTTCTTCTAATTTTCCATACTTTAGCCAGTATTTAGTAAAGTTTTGATATACCAGTTGGAATCAAGTTTATTAAAACTTTCAATATTTTCTTTCTTTAATTTAGCTTTTAATAAACATTTTTTAAGGAATTTTTGGGAAATTTCTGGGAAATTTCTTTTTAAATTACTTTTTCTTTCTTTAAAAATTTAATTAATAAAAAATTTTTTTAAAAGAATTTCACTTCAAAATTTAAATTTTACTTGAAAAATTTGGGGAATTTTTAAGACATTTTAAGATTTCTTTAACTTTAAATTAATTTAAATTTTTAAATTTAAATTTTACTTTAAAACATTTCAGTTTTACTTAATTACTTTTTAATTTTACTTTTTAATTTGCAATCTTCACAAAAATAATTTTTTCACTTAACGTTATTATTTGCATTATTTACACAATTTTGCAACAGAACACACATTTCACATTACAAACAAGTTCACATTTATTAATTCACAATAACCACTTGATTGGCTCAGCTACTAAACTCCGTACTATAAATAGTTGGTCAGTTAAAATTAAAACTTGAATTACATACTTTCAGGATATTCTTTGATTTTTTCTAGATTTATATTATTTAAATATTTTAATATTAAAGATAGCAGCTTGGCACTCAACTTTACTTACATTAGCGCCATCTATATAATTTGCAGAACACACTTACATCACTTAATAAATACTTTTGCAGACCCCCAACGCTTATATGGTAGGTAAGTTAGAATTAAAACTTACTATTTACTTGCTTTTAAGTATTTTTTATGTAGTATTTAAGTATTTTCTAGATATGTAATTATATTTTTAAGTATATATTTGTTTTTTTTTTATAAATTATGAATTAGTTCTTTTTAGTTTCTTTTTGGTTTATATTAATTTTGTCTAGTTCCTTTTTAGTTTCTTTTTGATTAATATGCATATTCGTGATGGGGAGGTTTCTGTAGACAAGGGTTTCTAAAATTTTGGTTTCTAAATTAATTTTTCTGGAAAATTTAATTTTTTAAAAAATTTAATTTAATACTACACATTGCTTATTTCTCAAAATACTTCATTATTTTCCTTTTAGACATTTAATTTTTAATTGCTAATTTCTCAAGGTACCACTTAATTGGTATTTCTTTTTAGACATTCTTTACTTTTGGTTTTGACTTTTACCCTTGCCTGCATGAATGACGAAACACGAATTGAATGATTGAAGAGTTAGGTTTGGAGGCAATCTACCCCTTGATAAGTCTGTCTCCTGCCTGCTCAACAGTCATTCACTTATGCATTTTTAAAAAATTGTTTAGATTAATTTTAATTTGCTAAATTGGTGAATTTATTTTCATGGTTTGGTTCTGCACTTGATTTACATATGGTATCTGAATTTAAATGATATTGTAGATTAGTTCAAAAATTAAATCTTTTATATGTTTGCACATTTTTTAATTATTTTAACTTTAAATTTGCTTTCTTACGTATACATGTTTGTTAAAATTTAAATTTCATTCCTTGCAGCAATAGCGCAAAGAATTAATTAAAATTTGTATTTAAATTCAATATTTTTTTTTGAAGATATATATATATATATATATATATGTAATAACTACCTTGCTTGATATATATATATATATATATCTATTTTGTTTAATAAGAATAAATTGAATTAAATTAAATTTAATTTAAATACAAGTTCAATTAAATAATTCTTTGCGCCATTGCTGCAAGGAATGAAATTTAAATTTAA